TTTTTAATAAAAGATTTAGAAAAATATTGGTACTTATTTATTATACAATTAAAAAAATGAAGGATTTAGAAAGAGTTTTTGTTATTGGATATTTAATTAAAGTGAATGGATAATAACAATATTAAAAGGAAAAAATATTTATTTACCTAAAAAATAAAAAATAATAATTAATTTCAGATAAATTTAAAGTAAAAGATGACAGATATTTTTACACAAACCAAATATAGTATTAATTACACTTTTTTACAATAAGTTTTTAAATTTATTATTTTACAGTTTAAATTATTTTTTATTATAAAACAAAGATCCTTAAATGAGAAGAGAAGGTCCTCCTTTTTACTTATAAGTTAATATTTTACAATCCACAACAATTTAGAATTCAAAAGTAAATAATATTTTTAATACAAGTATCACATGAATAATTTTAATTGAATAGTTAATAAATTTAAAGTTAATATTTATTTTTTAAATAAATTAATCATAAAAAATATAATTAATACATCACTTTATAGCACATATTAGAGAAATTTATGATTACATAATTTTTAAAAAAAAAAGTTTACCCCAGCAACTGCATAGTTTCTGTCCAACAATGACAATCTTTTGTTACATGTTTAATGGAATGTCATTGTCCTGGATGCCTCATAATGTTTGTTTGTTTGTTTTCCTTTCATTTTTTTTTTTCAATCCTAGTTAGAGGGGAAAATCTTGACTTAGGTTGTAACTAAAATTGAGATTTGATTAACTGAAAATTTCTGATAAAAATTTTTAAGACCAAAATCAATACCAAAATATATAGTACTTTTTGGTTCAGTTAACTGAATTTTTGGTTATTATAAGTTTGATCTCGATTTTAATTAATAATTATCAAATATGAAAATAAGATTAAAAACTAGTAAATAAATGAGAGTAAGGTACAAAATTTTGATTATTTTTTTAACTTTTAAACATACTTTAAATTCAAAGCATATATTATAATAAAATTTATAAAATAATACTTGAAAAAGTGATTGAATGAGATGAAT